CAAAAAAAAAAGAAAAAAATAAATCAATAGCTCTATCCACTGTAGCAAAATCCCATGCAAGATGAGTCTTGATCTACCTTGGATCAAGTACTTACCAGTGTTGTAGTAGATGTATAAACTCATGACAACTAATCTAATAGTGGAAGGGAATTAAATGTCTGTAACAACAGACACAAGGAGTCCTAGCTGTGTGAAAAGAATTTCCAAGCAGATTGTCACTTGTACAACACTTATAGGAAGATTACCCCATAATACCAATTTTCCTATAAATCTTATTTAAAATACAGCAGTTAAAGGTGTGAGAGACTGAAATGTCAAATGATTGTCTCAAAGCTTGCTTGTGTGTGTGCTTTGAGTCACGGGGTGGTGTCAGTAATGCCTCGACCATTCATCAAGGACCAGCTGTGGCACCTGTAATTAATCTAAGGAATGTCCCCCAAGGGAGCAGGAGGGTATCGAAGGATGCACCCCCCAATCCCTTGCAGCTGTATTGACAAACTCCTTAGATAAGCCTCGAAGAGGTGGACTGAGTGAAACTGGGTGTTTCTCCTGGAGCACCAGGACTGCTGATCGCCGGCCATTGTCTAAGCCCGATACTTGGTGGCTCTATTGTATCGCTGATGACCTTGTGCCTTTGGAGGTGACACGAGAGGTGAGTGTTTCTGCCCCAGAAGCCGGATGATTGCTCACGAAGCATGAAATCAGCAAAAACCTGTGGGACCGGAGGAAAAACTAAAGGTGGGCAGATATGCTAATCAGCTGATAAGATGAACTTAAAAGGTGACCGAGAACTTTGCCGTGTGTGCACCCACCACCGAAGAACTGAAGACTGAGGAACAGTGGGATATTACTGGATCCATGGTGGTGACTATTGTAACTCTGTTCTGGATGGTTGCTTGATTTCTTTTCCATCTTTTCCATCCATTCTGTCCTATCGCTACTGCACTTCTAATGATAAAAAACTGTTCTGGGTGTAGGGCATTTGACCTCATTTGTGCCTTACTTGGGATCATATCTCCTGACATTGGATCAGGACAGAAAGAAACCCAAAACAAATCCCCAAATCCCACATAATTAAATAAACCATCCAATAAATGATTTGGCAATTAAAAAAAAAAAAAAAAAAAGGCAACTGGAAAGAGAAGCCAATTAAATGGTGTATGTGTAAAGATTTTTTTGTAGTGAAAAAAGTGGTAGTATGGGTAAAATAATTTTCTTTCATTTTTACAGGTAGATTTTGCTGTGTTACCTGTGAATCAATATGATAAGCATCAAAACATCACATGTAAAATCAGAACACAAGATTTTTCTTTGACAGTTCAAGTCTCAAAATAACACGTTTTTTTCTCCAATAAAAGGATATATGGTTATTCCTCTTTAAAGTAAATTTTCATTTAACTACTTTATATAGACAAATGAAATACAGACACTACAAAACATTATATTTACTCTTAAAGGGAACTTTTCTGTTCTTGTGCTGCATAAATATGAACAGAAGAAAATATTCTATGTGTATAGTCCCAATTTTGTGCTGTTTAGTCTATTAGAATCTCATCCACTGTAAAATGACATCGTCATGATGTGTATGTCTATACACAGTCTTCACTCCCTGTGAGAGAGAGGAAGGAAAATTTTAACATTATTCTTTCTGGACAGATTTTGTCCATGAAAGTGGTAGAATGAAAATTCAAGACATTTCCAAAAGTACTAAAAAGGGTGAGACACTAAGAGCAAAGCCTTTTTTTCTCCTGTCTTGGTAAGAAAAATTTAAGATAAACTAATATCCTCTCTGCATTTTCCCCTCATTCTTAGTAAAGGCAGTAAAATCATAAAAGCTTAAAAATGGAGGGCAACTCTTTAAATTTATTCTCCTCTTGTGGCTCCTTACTTCTAATTTTCATGTCCTGAACTTGGCTAATTAAATCCTGGGAAGGTTATATTATTACACATAGCCATCAAAGATTGTTAGCTAAATGATACTGTAATTTATATATCCTAGGCTGTTTAGGGACATATATGGGAAATTAGAACAAAATATGACTACACAGCTTTTATTTGTATGCAAATTTCCACTATTCTGCATGCATTTACTAGAATATGGAACCAGACCAATAATAATAATTTTAAAATTAATGTCAAAAAGTTATAGAAAGGAACAAGAAGCGATCTTGCCTTTATGGAACGTTATGTAGAAGTTGAAAGAATGTGTTCCTTTATAAATCACTACTTTTGCAAGTAAGAATGTCTTTTTCCATGTTTATATATACACGTATATCTATCTGTATGTTTTCTTTAAATGGAGTGCTGCTATTCCCCCAATACACAAAAAAATCAAAGACCACTTTTGTCATTCTTTCAGCATTCTTTTTTACATGGAATTTCTCCTAGCCAGAACCAAAGTAAAAATGCAGATTAAATCGCGAATTATAGCACAAATTATGAATTTTGCACACAATTTTTACATTCTAATACTATATCAGATAATGCATCTTTGTACTTCTTAAAGAAAAGCTATAATTTGAGACCAAGATAGCCTAAAAGGCCATACTGTCCTTTAAGAAGTCCAAATAACTTTAAACATTATGTTCTTTAGAGTTCCAAATAGAACTTCAACTTCTGTGTACTACCCTGTTCTTAGCAGAAATTTTAGTGCATATAATAGATACATCTAAAACTGAGATATTAAGTGCATATTAAACAAGTTTGTAACAATTCTAAACAGTTGTTGCAGCCAAGTAGAAACATTCAGCTTTAGATTTATATGGGTAGAGATATTAAAGAAAGCTAGGAGTTAATGTATATTTCTGAGTGTTAAGAACTTGGTTAAGTTAGTATAAAAAAGATGCATTAGATAAGCTTGAAAAAAGTCTTTTAAAAATTGCAGTTTTAACATAGGGGTTTAAATGAATCTAATTTTAGCAAACATCTTTCTTTTTATTGACGTGGCTTTAAAGTGGTATGAGTGGTTTGGTTTTGACTTCCCAAAGTCATTCAAGGAAAAAATGCTGCTGCTTCCAAAATCTTTGTTACTCAAATACAGTAAAAGAGCCTTTTAATGTAGGGAATCTTTGATGGGTTGTTAGCATTAGCCAGACTGTGCTGGTATAAAAAGATTCCCATTTGAACAAGTTGTAAACCTACCTGGAAATAGGGTTTAGGGTAAAAAAAAAAAAAAAAAAAAAAAG